ATCCCCCCACCCCAGGAGGGGGTGATTTCTCACTTTCTCTGTCTCTGTCTTTCTCTCTGGCAAGCACACGTGCCCTAAAGCAAACACCTCACAAGAAAAGAAAAAAAGAAAGAAAAAAGAATTGAAGTGGAGACTTGTAGTTAAAGAAAGCACTACTGAAACTAAATGTTGAGAGATGAGTAGGATTTAGACATACAGTGGAGAGAAGTTAGTTTTCAGGTGGGAAAGGCAGCATGGAGAAAGTACTGATGTTATGTGAAGAGATGTTTCTGACTCCTGTGAAACATACAAAAATGGCAAAATCTTGAGGTAGAAGGTTGAAGTGGATTTCATTGGCCTTTCAATATCAAGATAAAGAGTTAAATTCACTGTTGCTGAGCAACAAGAGTTAAATACTGATTCTGAGCCCCCAAAAAATGTAAATTAAAATGTTCTGAAGGAGCCAGCAGGTGGCGTGGTGCTTAAGGCACTGGACTCCCATATGGATGACCATGGTTCAAGTCCCAGACCTGACAGTTTGTTTTCTTACTCTCCCTCCCTCTCTGTCTCTCTGGTCAAAGTGAATAATATTTTTTTTAAAAATGGGTAAAAATAAATAAATCATTCTTTTTTTCTTTTTTTTTTTGAGAGGTTTTCACTATAGGGCGCGTGCGCTCGCAAGGCAGACAGAGAGAGACAGAGAGACAGAAAGCGAGAAATCACCCCCCAGGGGGGATGGCCACGCCGCAATCCCTTCTCTTCCATTCTCCTCTTGGGATCTTGGGCACGCACGCACATGCACCCAGCGTGAGTTTTAAGCCACCGGGTCCGGGACACGAACCACGGTCTACTATGTGGGAGTCCAGCGACATAGCCATTATGCTAACTGCTGGTTCCCGATAAATCATTCTTTAAAAAAGACATCCTGGAAAAGTTCTTTAAGTTGCATTTAAGAAAGACTTGAGAAGGGGCGGAGCTTCTGAAGAATAAATATCAGCTCCCATACGAATATAGTAAACTATCTATGGGAGAAAGGCCAGAATTGGTTTAGGAGATCTGTCATAAGAATGGAGAGAATGTAGAAGTAAAAAAGCAATGTTAAAATAAGTAATCCCAGATGACAGACTGATGAAAAGGGGAATGGACTCCATCAAGAAGGAGGAGTATTCACAAGAGGCAAAATCAGAAGTCTTTATAAATCATCCTGATGCAGCAAACGCATTGGGGAAATGGGCGTTTTATAGGCATATGCTTAGTGCTAAAGGTCAAAGTGGAATGAGTAAGAAAGAAAGTATGTTGACAAGGATGAACCAACAGACAAAAATGCATGCTGATCTTACTGCTCAGAATGTTGTATACTTGTGTGGGAATTAATAGAACGAATGACCACAAATGACCCTCTTGGCAGGCAAAGCAACATAGCATAATCTATATTTGTTCACAGTCTAATGCAGAACAACAGTTGGAATAAAGCACTTAAATCCTAAAAATACACATCCTTTAGAAAACTATGCCAATTTCTGTTAATGACATTCAGATGTGGACTTGCATTTTTCTCTACTTGGAATATTTTCTGGGAATATAAGTTTACGAAGCGCGAGTTTTACATCCTCATATGCCTGTAAACATTGCTAGGGTGAATAATAAGCTGGAGTATGTGTAACAGCATCAGAATGAGGCTCATGGGGTCTCATAGCCTAATGGTTCAAGGAGCCAGATCTCACATTTTTTTTTTTTTTTTTGAGAGGTTTTCGCTATAGGGTGCATACCCTCGCCAGACAGGCAGAGAGAGACATAGAGACAGAAAGCGAGAAATCACCCCCCAGAGGGGATGGTCATGCTGCAATCCCTTCTCCTCCATTCTCCTTTCGGGATCTTGGGCACGCACGCACACACGCCCGGCGTGAGTTTTAAGCCACCGGGTCCGGGATGCGAACCGCGGTCAACTACATGGGAGTCCAGCGACACAGCCATTACGCTAACTGCTGGTTCCCCAGATCTCACATGTTTAACTACAGTAAGAATCCTGGCCCCAGTGGCTTGAAAAACAAGTCAGGTGTGTGTGCACATGCGTGCCCCAAATCCCCACAGGGTAGCGATACGGAGGAGCGGGGATGGCACCATGACCCTGCCCAATGTGGAGGTGCTTTCTCTCTTTCTCTCTCTCTCTCTGGTGAGTAAGTGCATCCTCTAGTATTAATAATAATTGTCTAAAAGAATGATGTTCATAATTAAGAAGTGACTATTGCTATATGGATGGTCAGTATACATTTTGCAGCCGGTACTAGCCAAATATGAATCTGCTTTCCGGACCATTGGTGCCTTCCTGGTGCTCTAGGCTTCCAGGACAGCTCTGACCACCTCATATGGAGGCAGGTAGCTAGTGAGGCGGGAATGTACCCACTATAATCCACCCGTGGTGATGCCACGCTAATGCACCAGCAAAATAACCTTCCTGCCACACATGTGGATTAAGTGCAATTGCATAAATGTGAATTTTTAAGAAGTTGTCTATATATCAAGTAGGTTATTCATTATATTATAAAGGTGAGCCTCTGATTTTGAAAAGAAATATAAGGTGGGTGAAGACTTACTAAACCAGACTTTCTGTTTCCTAGAGTAATCTGTGGTTACCAACTGCTTCGTCTTTATTCCTTAACATTTATTATCATTATCATTATTATTATTATTATTATTACTAGATACCTGTCCTGCCATGAATGTGTGTGGTCATGACTTTAAAAATATAGGAAAAAGTAAAAAAGAGTCTTGACCTTTTAAAAATATAGACTCATGATCGACTACTCGGGTTACACAATTTCAGATTTAAAAAAGGACTTCAGGCATCATTTAGCCCTACCAATGGCAAGGTTACCTAAGTAGTGACGG